ATATTATATTACATGTAATTATTCCATATTGAATTATTGATAGATACTGGCTTTAGGAATTTTGATATAAGAAAAATATTACCAAAATAAAGAGAATCCAATATCTGTTTTAAGCATTAAGAAAGAATGAAGCTCAGTGCATATTACTGTTCCAGGAACAGAGAGATGGGGAGACACCAGCTCACTGAAAGTTTTGTATTTTCTTCAGTAATTTTCATTCACCCTCATGCTGTTCTGTGACCCACAACTCTGTCTTGAGTGAACATATTAAAGTCTCTTTCTACAGAGGAAAAACCAGGCAAATGAAAAGACAAAATGTGTCAGTGAGGAGAACACTTGTCACACAATCTTGATAACCTGAGTTCGATTCCCAGAATGCCACACACATAAAAGTGTGACTAGGAAAGAGTCTTCAAAGATTTCCTTTGACTACAGCATATGAAGGATGCTACACACACAACACCTGAGCTCACATCATATCCACATGCAATAATAATAGCTTTCAAATATTTAAAATAAAACAAGAAAAATATCTCCTAAGAAGATTAAAATTGAGTTTGTTCACTGCTCTGATACCTGTTATGGTTATTGTTTTAGATTGAGAAAATGTAACTTTACCTTAATTCTAAAGTAAAACATTCTATAAGACTTTGTACTGCAAATGAATATGTAGATGGTATTCTGTTTAAGACAACATAAGAAATAGGCAGAAAAAATATTCTGAAAACCACCTAAACTAATAAATCAATGCCTTCACTCTTAAGTAAAGCATAACATTAAAGAGTTACAAATTATTTAGAAAAATGAGGAAAGGAAAATGAACAGGATCTTTTGGAAGACACATCGATGATTCTGACAGAGGTGTATAAGTTAAAACAAAAGCAAACAGAAATTTAATTAGTAAACTTGGAGAGCTACGAAATGAAGATATTCTTACTGAAGTGAAGCAATGATTACATAGAAAGAGCAATTAGAGAACAGGAAAGTAATCAAGCAAATGAAAAATGAGGGAATAAAAAGTATTGAAGGTACCTAAGAACTGAAAGCAAAATCATAAATGTATGCACATTATGAAATATAATATAAGAGACATAATATAGGGTATCAGCATAAGTTATAATTATTCTAGAACAAGAAAAGGGATAACATCAGAAGCAGACATGAAATAGTAATGTGTCTTTTCAAAACTAAAGCAAACTATGACTTGGCTTTGTTTAATTTAAATATGTTGTTCAGCTGGTCTTGAACCACTGGGCTCAGTCTTGATGCCTCATGTCTTTGAAATCTCTATTTCCTGGGCACTATATATACTCAATTCCATACAATCATTACTTTCTTTTAATAAAGACAATTTGATTTCAACTTCTAACAAACCTCTAATAAAACTTCACCTATATATCATTTTTCAGGTAAAGTAAATTATTCTGTTTTATAACTTTTTTCTAGCTTTGAAAGTCTACTCATATGTTGGATCTCATTTATGTTCTGAGAACACTCCTCTGCGACAGGCAGAAGACAAGCCCAGTGAATCTAATCTTCCTGCACTCTATCTCCTGACCAGCTACTGAGCTAGCCTCTCAGACATCTGTAAACTGGAACCTCTGGAAGCGCTCTTTGAAGCAAAGCTTATTTTTTTAAAAAAAAATATTACAGTGGACAATGAGGACTACTGAGACTTCAAGAACAATGGCAATGGGTTTTTGTTCCTACTGGACCTATTGGTTTCATGGGAGCCTAGGCAGTTTCGTGGATGCTCACCTTACTAGACCTGGGTGGAGGTGGGTGGTCCTTGGACTTCCCACAGGGCAGGGAACCCTGATTGCTCTTTGGGCTGACGAGGGAGGGGGACTTGTT